AAATATTTTGTGTATCAATTTTTGTTTTTGCAAACCCCCTGTTCAACAGGATCATTTGAGGAGGAATAATCAATAATCATTAAGCAATGGAAACCCAAAAGAATAAATCATTTTCTCACTTTTTTAACATTCTCCGCTGTTTCTTCGCTGCTATTAGTCACTTTCTCAATAAATGATCTAGCACGAAGATAATTTTTGAATTCGAACAAGTAGTTGCTAAAAATAGCGCGTTCAAACAAATAAGGAATAAACTCTGCGGCTTTATATTTTAGTATAGATGGCTGTTGCCCACGTGGTCGATCGCGCCCCGTCGTTTCGACTAAAGATAGTATTACTATTGCTATCATCTCCTGATGATGCCGCCCGCTCACGTCGGCCGAACAGCCCGAAAAACAAGGATATGCGCGAACGATGGCCGTGAAAGCCTTGCAAAATTTAGAAAAAAATATCGTCGGGTTTTCTAGCTGCATTACAAAATAACAGGCTTCGGGACTTCCCCTTCCTCTGTTAGAAGGGACAATTATTCGTAGTACGTCACAAGTCATGAGTGTCTATTATCAAGGTAAATTTAAGTAAATTATACATTGATTCAAGTCAAAAGGATCTTTTGTTAAGAGTAATTCGCTTTACGCTTTCCCTAATATCTCTAAGGAGCACCCTTTATAATATCTAATACAGCTCTATGTGGGTGTATGATTAATAGTTCTGTTATCGTTAACACTTCATTTTAAGGCTTATTGGAACGGGCCCGCGTTTATACATCTAAGAATATAAATAATGTCATAACTTAAAGATTCAATATTCAGAAACAAGTAAAAAACGCATATTTAAATAAAACTATTTTAACGGTTCAAAACATGGCGTCTCGATGTCTTATCGGTCTTATCTTATTGTACGTAATTTATTCAATTGATTCCACATATATCCATATGTATATGTATATAGACATGGACACAGTACATAATATTTCAAAGCAAGTCTGTTTTTACATATAATTCGGTACTCGATGACCTCTGAAAATTTAATATTGTCATACTTATATAAATCGATGATTTGATGTTAATAAAAATTCAACATAGTCTTTTCCCTTCAGAAAAGAAAAATAGATGACCAATTTTGCTTGTCTTTATTTACCCCACAGTCTTCAAATATGGTCCGATTTCGATAAACGAGGTATCATTCGATCCTGTTTATTGTGCCATTGCGTATATATTTCTTATTATTTACTAATGCTTTTCAGGCGATCGAAGTAATGTCCAGTTCTTATTAAAGTAAGTAAAGTTATCTATTTCACAGTATTATTTTCCCATCGCTGGGCACCGGTCTCCTTAGGTGAGGTAACCTCTCGAATGGCAATCTACAGAGCTAAAACCCACCTGGCTGCTGCAGTGTGGGTTAGTGGGCTTTTAAATTTTTTAATAAATTACGAACAAATTTGCAAAGAAAAAGATCCTGAAAAGTTATTTATTTATGCTTGTCGTTTGGCAATTGTAATTTTTTATTATTAATAAAACTTTTTAAAACGCGTTTATATTAGTTAAACTTATTTGATCATCACTTACCAGACTTCCCGTGACCAGGCTGCTACAAAGCATCTGAAACGTCGGGCCGTAGTTTAAATAATTTTCAAATAGCTTTCAAAATTTCAACCGTTACCGTGTTTTATTTACATGCGTACTACTCGCGTTAACTACAGACAGTATTTAAGGAATAAAAATAGATAAAATTAAGGAGAATTACTACTATTTTGTATTTATATTTGACTACAGACAACATCCCTATTATGAGCCTGTGGTTTCAACTTGTAATAATAAACACAGAAACAAAGGCGTGTTTCTCAAGTATTTAGGGAAATTCGGAGATAAGTTTTCATTTGTTTCCAAAAGACAAAATTATAGCAAGACATGGGAGACTACTTTAAAGATCGGGTTAAGCGAGTTTCTTGTTAGTTAAAGAGGTATTTTTTATTGTTCCAAAATTCTCAAAGGCATAAATTGTTACCTTATATCGTCTGACAATATTCCTAAAATAAGATCTATTAGTGAAGTAATGTACGGCTAATAATCAACCGGTCGAGGATTCGATCCTCACCGGGTCTAACATTTTTCTAATTAATTTATATTTTTTCTGAAACATGTTGAACTTCATCTTGAAGTTTAGATATTAAATAGTATATTATTAGTATAGAAAACTGTCAAAGTGTCGTTCTTAGACAACTTCACAATTTTGACACGTGCGGCGCTAGTTGAATTGCTAGAATGGCTGTCTCCTCATTCGTAAATAGCAAGTCACATCTCAGTAAAGTCTTTCAAAGACGGCATAAGTTTTTTAATTGGCTTCACATAAAAACTTTCCGCTTTGTAAATTAAATAACATAGCATGACGTAACTAGACAAAGTTTAATGAAACACAATGAATATTTGCTTAACATCCTTATGTCAGTCGCCTAAAATTTATTGCTTTTTGAATTTTCTCTTAAGGATGTCAGCTTTATAATGCCAACGTGGAAGAATAACTAATACATTATGAGAATAACTTTTAATTATTTATTAGCTAGACTCTCTCTTATCTTTCTCTTGACTAGCTCCGTCACCGTCTTCATCCGCCTAGAATAGTTATTTTTGGCATCAAAATTTGTTTTTGCAAACCTGTGCAAGAATAATTAATATAAGCTGTTACTCATGACGTCGTCCGTGTCCCATCGTTCTAGCGAGTTAATCTTTATAGGAAGACATATACTGGCACGGTAAGGTTTTTAGATCCTGTAAAGAGAAATCATTTTTCAAACATATTTTTGGGGATCTTTGACCGTTTTCACACAGAACGCAAGGGAAACCCTTAAAGATGAATAATTCTCTCCGCTTCTTCCACATTTTCCATTGTATACTGCTTCTATTGATCGCATCGTGTTTTATAGCCTAAAGCCTTTCTCGGTAATTGTTCAAACCAACACAAAAATATTTTTTATATTCGAACCAGTAGTTAAGATTAGCACATTCAAACAAACAAACTCTTCAGCTTTCTGTTTTAGTATAGAATTGACGCCAGCTTTTATTATTTACGTAGGTACAGGTACACGCTTCGAAGCTATGAATAAATCTCGTCTGCTTTTGTACTGAGATGCAACAATTTACATTTTGATATCTTGTATGTAATATGTATTAGAATTTTACATACAAAGTTGGAGCATTTTATTACCATACTTAAGCAAAGTTCAGTCAAAACAATAAAATCTCAACAACTCCATTACAATCTGAAACATAAGAACTAAACATAATGGTAAATATAAAATATGGGGTAAATATAATGTGAATAGAATAATGAACGATGGATTGAGAGTCCATGATAATCGAATGTTACTTACCAAGTTCATCTTGCACAAGATAGTTTAAAATTCAGAAACACGTCACTAAATTCAACTTATACGAATAAATACCGTCTGTAGCTTACCCGAGTAGTACACATTTAAATAAAACATTGACGTTTTAAAACGCGATATATATTAGTTAAACTTATTTGAAAATTGGACCGACGGAGAAACTCGTATATATCGCTTTTTAAACCCTTAAAGTTTTATTTAATTATACGAGTAATATTAATCAACCACGAATTTAATACACTATAGACTATAATGGTTCTAGTCGACTGTGCCTCTGACAGGGCACAACCAGCTCGAACAGTGGCTTTGAACGATTTACCACTCTTACCACGTCACAATAGACAGACATCAATCACAACACATTGTTTACAACGCGAAAATATTAGATGCTGAAAAACTTCTACAAAGTATCGGTAAGGTCGCATCGCAATTAAAACTTAGTCAAATATATTTCGTGTTTTGAACAAATAAAAGGTGTTATTATAATATTTTGAAACAGCACATCTAAGGCGCATGACATACAAGCCGGTGTTGTATATGTTTTTTTTTTTTTACCTAGAATTATATAACAGGCAAGCGTAGAATTCAAGTGATGAAAAGAGAGATACCCCAGCCATACTAGATCTAAATAAGAGGCGTAGTCAATTTTTTTATTCGCACTTGACGTTCGGAACATCTCAACCGAAACGCTGATTAACATTCCACGGCTTTTCCATCTGTTTGCAGCTTAGACGGAATTTTGATGTTCCATTTTTCAGAAGCCTGGTACAAAACAGTTCGGAACATTATTGCATTGTTTTGAAAGCATGCACAAAATCTGGTTATTAGTTAAATATTGCTTGTACGGGACCGACAAGCCTGTCTCAACGAAAAGTCGAACGTAGGACAAACAAATGATTTGATTGGTAACCAGCGAAGCGAACAAGATTTTGTGTTCCCGTTTACCGGTGAAGGGGAGTAATTCTGGTACACATGATTTTGCGATAACGCAATAAGGGAAGCTCTTAAATAAAATACGCTTTACACTGCAATTATGTCTTTGAATTGATTTCTCTTTGAAACTGTTCTCGTATACTTTGTCAGATTTTAAACAGCCTCTATCTCTCGGTATCCTGTGAATAGCCTACCTATTAATGAAAAAAATTATGTATATAAGTTTATAATATGTGTAGGTTAACTAACGGCCTGCGTTACGGCCTTAGGCGCTGAAAAATCACTCTCTTCTATAATCTTTCAAATACCTGACCCAAAGATTAGTGATAGGGGATTATCAGACATCCAACGATCAATAAATCGATCTAGATCCTAGCGAAGCTAAGACATATTATCAATCTTCCTTAAATTAACTAATATTAGTCTACAAACTACTATTATTTCTGCTCACAAAATGTAAACTAACGTTTGGTCATTATTTTTCGTTTGAAATTTCATATACGGCCAGTACTTCTTTTCACTTTACTAAAAAAACATTTTTGGCGTGTTAATGAAACCTTTTTAATATGAACTTTGTTTATGTGACTTCATAGGTTACGAAGCCATACAAAAATGTGACGTTTTCAAACATACTCGACTACTATTATAAAAAACAACATTGTTGATTTTTGTTTTTTTTTGATTTCAGGTACAAAATGGCGTAAATGAAGAATCATATAGCAAGTTGCAAATGATAATCATGAAGATCTTCCTAATTATAGCTGTTATAGGACTAACTAATTATAAGAGTTACGCATACAAAAATGATAACTTAAATAATGACGTAGAAAATAATTCCAATAGCATTAAAATAAAAGATAAAATAAATATTCGTAATTTAATTATAACAAAACAAACTTTAAAAAAGGAAGATCATTTACTAATAGATAATTTAAGGAATAGCCTAAGAATTGATAACAGTCATCCAGATTCGATTAATTCGAAACAAACTATAAAACAATTTAATGAACACATTGTAAAAGTGAAGAGATTTAAAAGAACAACGAAGGTCGACAACAGAAGCTTAACGATAAAAGATGAGATGAAACCGGAAAACTTCACTGAACAATGCGTAGGCGCCGAAGAATTCTGCAATCTGTCCAGAGAGGAATATATTACTATGCTAAATGAGTATATTTATCCGCAAACTTATGAATGGGTGTTGATAGCCACCCACACAGCTGTTTTCGTGATCGGATTGGTCGGTAATGCATTAGTGTGTGTGGCAGTGTACAGAAACCATTCTATGAGAACTGTGACGAACTATTTCCTAGTGAACTTGGCGGTGGCCGATTTTATGGTGATCCTGTTTTGTTTGCCAGCAACGGTATTGTGGGATGTTACGGAGACTTGGTTTTTGGGTGATGCACTATGCAAGATTATATTATATTTTCAGGTAAGTTAACACACACATGTTTATTATTAAAGTGTACACTGATTTGAATAAAATAATATAGAGTTGAATTACAGAATAGCGTTACACTAAGTAGTATTTTTATACTTATACATAGTCGCTTCGTTTTTGATTAGCCCAGAGTAGCCCTTGTATAAAATGTTATGAGCAGTTTGTCATATCTATACATATAATTGAAAAGTTTGTTTGTATGAACGCAGTAATCTCAGGAACTACTGGTTCGAATTGAAAAATATTTTTGCGATAGTTAAACCATTTATCAATAAAGGCTCTAAAACATCACACAGCGTGACATCTCTCTATTGACCAACGGAAAAATGTAGAGAAAAAGGGGGAAAATAATACATCCTTGTAATAAAAAAAATAATGCTAATAAAATGTGTTCAAAAAATATGTTCGAAGTGATGATTCCTCTTTAAATGATCTAAAAATAATGTCCCCGACAGTATTAACTTTAGAGTAACTTGCAAGAACGACGGGACGCGGACGATGTCGTGGGTAACAGCTAGTCATAGCTATTTGTTACGTCACGACCGCATAGGTGTTGTGTGTTTGCGTCATTATTGGGCAATTGATATGTAATCACGCAGCTTTCAGTGAGCAATTACTCGCCAAATGGTCTAGTCTATTGCCATGACAACGCGTGATTGGAATAATGGATACAGAATATACACTGTTTTTGGTTGTTCGCTGAAATACGAACGATCCACGAATATGCTAATACTGGACTTCACATGGGTTGTAAAAGTTTGTATATGATACGAAGGAATTTCATTTTGGACGATTTCTGAATGGTTAAGATATTGGGGACATTAGTAACGGCTACGTCATTATTTTTTATTTAATTACATTTTTACATACATACAGTGATAAATCATTTACTAATAATAAAAAATATAAATATAAACTAATATAATATAATAGTTTGTTTGTTTAATTGTGTATATATCAGCAAGGAATTGTGGAAATCGAAAAATTATTTTGTCTTGGTTAGAGAATTTATCGAGGAAGGCTATTTTAGGATATATATTTTACAACGTTTAAATAAAACAGTTTTTATTTTGACGTCAGTGACACCCTTCGACACATCGGGCCGAAGTTTAAATCATTTTCAAATGAGTTTAACTAATATATCGCGTTTTAAACCGTTAAAGTGTTTTATTTAAATGTGTACTACTCGCGTAAACTATAGACAGTATTTAAATACAACGTTGCTATAAAAAGAACCGAAGAAATAATGGGAAAAGTGGAGAAAGCGGGCACATTCATCTTTGTAAGTTTCTATTGCGTACGCTGCGAAACACTTCAGGATACCCAAAAAATATGTCTGAAGGAATGATTCCTCAAATGCCAACGACAGTATATATCTCTTAAAATCAACCTGCAAGAACAACGGAAATCTGTAAGATGAAGAGGAGGATTGCAAAAACAAGTTTCGTTGCCCAAAATAACTATTCTACTCAGACGAAGTCGCTGACACACCTAGTTTGTGATAAATACAAATATTACGTCATCGGATGTCTCAAAAACAGGATTACCAATTATGTATATGATCTGAAATCTATCTGTATTCCGATACTACGACATGCAAAAGGCCCAGAAAATGTGCAAATCATTTCTTTATTCTATAAACATTTCCCAAGTCTCAGCGCCAGCTTGTGTGACAGGAATATCAATTTTCCGGTCGAAAAGCCACAAACAAAGCATTCAGTTTGATTTCAGTCAATGAATTTTCGGGTATCCATAAAAGGAGTCGCCTTTTTTTCAAGTGAACCGTTTTTTTTTTTAATAAAAATCATATATTTTTTAATGATACAAACGTTTTCTTGGCCTTCGGAACCGTCATCCACAGCACAGTGCTGTTGCTCTAATCAACTGAGCTACCGAGTCCTACACGATGCCGGTTCAAGTCCTGCCCGAATCGTATATTTTTTCAAATTATAATCGATTTTTAATGTACTACCATCCTGTGCAATATTATATGAAAAATATTAAAAGGTTTTGAGATTGTTTACATAACCAGCTATACATAGCTAACATAACTAACATAAATATACTTAAATACTGTCTATAGTTTACGCGAGTAGTACACATTTAAATAAAACACTTTAATCCCGTTAATATCGCGTTTTAAACCGTTAAAGTGTTTTATTCAATTAAATATACATTAACCGCGACACAAAACGATAGTTCTATAGAACAACTAAACAAGCGTTTATAAATTCACGACATTCGCAGAACAAATGGAAAAGGAGTTAACTGCATCTCGAAAATAAACAAAAACTTTATTCCCGCGAAAGCTTGTGTTAGCAAATGCGCTCAGCAAATAACGACTAACAAATATTTTCATATATCCTTTGTTCTACTGAATTAATAGAGTTCTGGTATCGGTTACAACCCTTGTCATTCTGAAAGTCTTTACATGGGCAGAATGATTGATAAAAACAGCGGCAAATAATGGATAGAATTTCGAGAAAAACTGTAAGTATGTAGTAATCATATAGTAAGACTCACTCCTCATAAGTTATGAGTTCTAAATCTACAAACGGCACGTTCTACCAAAATATAATTCATAGATATTTAATTATTTTTTTTAATGTTTTTAGTCGCTTTGTCGTTAATGTCCAAAGACAATCAGTTTATCTTTTAATATTAGTAGGCAAAAGTCTAAGTCATTGAAATTCAATAAATATTGTACCTAGCGGGATTTGAATTTGAAAGTTGGTATAAAGTTTTATTCATTTCAGTTATAATTGTGTTTTTTAGGTGTTTTATATTAAAAACGCTTTTATTTGCATTATATCAAATTTAGTGTCTGTTTATTTATATTAAGGCGTTAATGGTACTTATTTTTTATTTAATGTTTCACGACTGCGAAGGCGAACTACTTAAAATCGACGTGTCAAGCAATCCGAAATATGATCTTGTAAGTCAAGAATTATTATTTTGAGAGATATACTATATTAATGTTTTAAATTACGTAACTTAAATCTGTAGTTAAGATTTAATAAAGTTGGCATCTAAGTTATTTTCTATCGAATATCAAAAGATCATTAATCAAACTAATGGCTTGAAGTAAATTTCGTGAACACTATTAGAGCATGATTAAATTCTAAAACAACCTTTTGACGCTAATTCAGATTTCCAGGCCTTTGAAGCCTGTTTGTTTAATGAATGAGAAATAAGGTGGGAAAATTTCGATATTTTTGAACCTTTCTATAATTTTATTTCCGTAATAATATTAAATTATGACATATATCAATTGCCGAAATAAAACTACTATATCATTGTTTTTCGGGCTGATCGGCCGACGTGAGTGAAAAGGGCTCTCGACGTTGCGCCATCACGAGCGAACGTCATCATCAGGAGATGTTAATTCCTCGATTGCTCGAAGAATGAAATCTTCGATTAAATTCAATTATACATCTATACACTAAATATTAAGAGTCATTAGATGGTAATTGTACAAATTACACCAGATTGGACTCTGTCTCCAACAAAATATAATTTCTTCTTACATCCACATCTGAGGACGGTTGTATGCGCTGATTCTTTATATATAAAAAATAAATACCGATGATATCTTTTAAGAGAAAAAAGTTTGAAGTGGAACTATATATTCTAGAAAATTAAATCCCTGTATACATGAGCCAATCAATATACAATAATCACAGTAGACACATTAAAAGAAAGGTTATTGGATGGTATGAAAAAGGATTTACGGAACCTTAATGTTGATATCCTGTGTAACTGGAGGATTCACAATATGTTCACTTGCACTGGCACTTTTGCAGCGTAAAGTCAAGGGCAAGGCAGTATAGAGCCAAGCAAAGTTAAACACACACAGGAGGAACACATACTAAAAAACGAACCTTGAGTGTTAGGTGAGCAACGATGTTGGGTAGGATTAGAATTTTACAATTAATCGTTTCTACCCGCATTGCCCACATTAATGGCCCAAACAACCGTTGTTGTTTTAAACTCCGTTTAATTTGTTTAACCGCCGCAGAAGTCTTTAAATAGTAATATATGTGTTCACTCAAAATAGAGTTAAGTTGAGAGGTTATATGGCTATATATTTCACCTTCTATCAAGTCTGTTTGTCTATCCTTCTCTGCTATATACTTTTTCACTGGCATGCTATTTTAATGAAACAAAACCTATATGTTATCTTAAACTATTAGTTAAACGATATTGAAGTCTAGTACATAGAAATTGAATTAAAATAATTTTACTACTTATCAGGACTGTCCGCGTAAATAGTTATATATTAAAAATTTGTTTTTTGGATACCTCCTGTTCAACTATAATGTAAGCTATTACCATCGCCGTCACTCGCGTCGTGTCGTTCTTGCAACTTATTCTAAAAAGGACTTGTCTTGGACATTCTTTTAGATCATTTAAAGAGGAATCATTCTTTCATGCATATATTTTGGGTATCGTTCGGTGATCGTTTTCGCATCGGAATCCTACAAAGGAAAATAATTTTTATAGGAAAATATTTTAGTAATGTACGAAGTACTTTTATATTTATTATAGCATCTTTAACATATTGTTAAGAATCTTCTTTTCTATTACAGTCTGTGTCAGTGACAGTATCCGTTCTTACCCTGACGTTCATCTCAGTGGACCGCTGGTACGCCATCTGCTTTCCACTCAAATTCAAGTCAACCATCAACCGAGCTAAGACAGCCATTTTGCTTATATGGACTATATCATTGACATTCAGTAAGTTATTTATTACTCCATCATAGTATTTTTCTCATTTACGCGAGAGGTTCTTAGTTTTTCTTCTTGGGGATATCGAATTATAATCTATTTATTAATTATAGTTATTTGGATATTACTGAAAGGCTCCATCTTCAGATTGAGAATGTTTTAAAAACTATTAAACTTAATAAATTATATAAGGTTCTCGGGCCATCTTTCAGCATACCATTGTTTTTCGGGCTGTTTAGCCGATATAAGCGCGAAGACGTTCTCGACGTTTATCCGTCACGAGCAGAAGGCATCATCAGGAGATGTTTCCTGGCTACTCTGTCGAACAACCCAAAAAATATGATATGCTATTAATATTTTTTAAATAAAACACAAATAAAATTACTCTTTTTTTACTAAAATTTGGTATACTCGCGTAAACTACTACTAGACAATATTTAACTATTAAACTCTTTTTTCTTTCGACGAAATATTGCGATTCTCAATTCGGGTACATTTTTTATGACTTCGCATAACATTTTTATAGCGCAGTCCGATTTTGAAGATTACTTTTTCATAGGAAAGGGTACACCCTAAAGTTCGTGTCTGTTATGTTTGTTGTATAAGAAAATGATATTTTTTCTCTCTTTATACACGCATAACATTTTTGTTCTATTTCACAGATGCGCCAGAATTGGTCGTGCTGACTACTGAAAAACTGGTCCCTCTACGTTTTGACTTAGAGTACTTAGTCCAATGTACAGCGACCTGGTCCTACACTAGTGATTTAGTGTGGCACATCACTAAGGTCGTCTTTATCTACACGTAAGCTTTGTTGCTAATTTGACGATTCGAAATTCGAATATGCTAAAAGAAAATAGTATCGTTATGTATGTGGACGGTATTCAAATGGGAACGAGATAAATAACGGAAATAAATATAAAAATACAACTATAGAAGCTATGTTGAATTTACTTACTATATGCTCTCCGGTTGCTGTAAATAAAATAAAATTACCTTTTATAAAAACATACAAGAACTAAGGTATAATGAAAGACAAAGAAAGCTTAAACCAATATCTCCCATTCTTCTAAAGCTTCTAAACGTCGGACTGTAGTTAAATTAAAGAATTAAACTAATATGTTCCGAGTATTAAACTGTAAAAAGTAATTTAAAAGTATACTGTTCGAGTAAACATAACTTAAACATTCGAAAACATTAATTATTGCACATGAAGGCACCATATAATTTAAAATTCGAAAATAAATTGAAAAAAATTTCGACTCGGGCAGGACTTGAACCGGCATCATCAACGTTCCGTGCTGTTACTCTGGATATATACGTATATATATATACGTACCTATAACTTAAACATATTTACGGTTTATACTCCTTACAAATAACTTTAAATCTAGTATAGTGTATTCTAGTTAAAAATAAATTGATTTCCGAATGCCTTTGCTCTAATTAATAACAATAACCTACTGGGTTTTACAATGAAAGTAATTTTGGGCGATCACACGAGCGAAAGCTGCGGTACGCCGCAAGATTTAGACTGGATAATATTCAGAATAGTTCGGAAATAGCAATTTAAGCTCTGCTTGAAATAATTCAAGATTTTAGGTGTTTATACTCTTTTATCAATTGTGCAGTTGAAATAATTATAATTAGTAAGTGTTTAGGAACAATTGTTCAATATATGGGTATTAAGTACGTTCTTAATTGATGCAGGAGATTTATTTTTTGAAATTTTCTTTATATTTAGATAGTTCATTATAATGTTTAATAAAGCACTTTTCACTAAAGTCTGTTCTCGGAGAAAGTAGTGTAATATCGTTTTCTGTTCTAGTTAAGTACTCGTGATGAGGTTTTTTTAAAAATAATGTATTATTTCACAGTATACCACTACTTTTGATGACTGTGGCCTATCATCAGATAGTAAGAGTTTTATGGCGATCGGACAATGTTCCCGGTCAGGCGGAAACTATCAAGTTGGCATCAGCTGAACAAAGTAAGTTTTAACGGGATCACAGTTCCATGGTGGCGATGTATGGATATAATCAATCAGTCGTGTTTTCGATCAACACCGACATGTTTCTAATCAAATCATAATTTTTCTGAAATATGTTGAACTTCGTCTGGACATTTTAAGTTAATACATATTTAGAACTAATATTAGTAATATTTAAAAGCTGAGTTTGTTTGGTCGTTCTAACGCGCTTATCTCCGAATATATGCTTTTTGTGTTAGCTGAACCATTTATCGAGGAAGGCTTTAGGCTACATAACATGCGATCAATAGAGGCGAAGAAACAGGGAAATGTGTTTTTTTTCCAGACGTAAAAAATGATCTTTGATTGATTTAGACGCGTGCGCTGCGAAAACGGTTTAAGAATTTAAATAAAACACTTTAACGGTTTAAAACGCGATATATGATTTTTAACTTCGGCCCGCGTTTCGCATACTTTGCAAGAAGCCGTGGTCATGGGGAGACGAAGTTAAAAATCATGTTCAAATTAGTCTTATTAATATATAGCGTTTTAAACCGTTAAAGTGTTTTATTTAAATGTGTACTACTCACGTAAACTATAGACACGGTTTAAGAAACCAATAAATATGTATGAAAGAATGATTCATCTTAAACTGATCTAAATTATGTACCAGACAGTATGTCTTTTTTAAGTTTAGCTCGTAGGAACAACGGGACACGGATGTGGGTAACAACTATTACGCGCGGACGAAGTCGCGGACACAGCTAGTTCTACATAAAAATCTTAATATCTACTGTCAAAAGTATGCTAGTAACAAAAATATGTAGTCCATGCTAGAAATAATATGTAGTATACGTAAGAACGTGAAGACTGTAAAATGAAGCTTGGCGATAAAAGAAGTGGCGGCGAGTTTCTTGCCAGTCCTTCTCGTTCGTTCTACGCCCTTGATTCGATAACTGGTAGTAAATGTAAACTTTGAGTCTTTAGTTTTCAACTGATGTGACGTTCATAAGTTCACCAAATGATTTTTGACTTTGACCTTGAAAATATGACGTAATATACAAAACAGGTAATACGCAAAATTGTATAAGATGTACAATAGTTATTACAGAGAAACCTTTTGCAACGAATTAGAGAAAACTTTTCTAATGACATTCGCAGAATTTCCCCCGGGATAATATTAGCTTGTAGAGAGTTGTGGCGTAATATCTATTTACTTCATAGTCAATCTGTGCAGGCATTTTCCGTTTCATTTAAAGAATGTCGACTGGCGTAGGATATACGGTTCACTACATATCGTTACAGGAATTTTCATTAATCCTTATTGGAATACCTTTAAGAAGAAATAAGATACTTTTATACCTAATGTTGCCAGAAATATGATAAAACAAGAGAAATAAACATAGATTAAAAATTTGTCGTGTTAGTTGGAGCGGCACATGGAACGCAGTGGATACTGCTTCAAGACCCGTCCGTGTCCTATTTTTTTACTATTTTTTTTTATAATGTAGGGGAACTATATTTTATATTTATAACACCTAAAATGTAGGATTAGATTAATTACTGAATTAATTTGTCTATTTATTGTTTCTTTAAATTGTAAATAAATGTTTCCATTTTCAGCTCAGCTACGATCTCGTCGGAAGGCAGCCAAAATGCTAGTAGCTGTGGTCATTATGTTTGCTGTTTGCTACTTTCCAGTGCATCTTCTTTCTGTGCTCAGGTAACCTTAATAAGAATATACCAAAATATTATATTAATACATGGTGTAACTTCTACTACTAGTTCGCGTCTTACAGCTTAAGGTTTTAGAGACGTTTAAATAAAACACTTTAACGGTTGAAAACGCGATATATTAGTTAAACTTATTTGAAAATGAGTTTTAACTTCGGCCCGACGTTTCGGATGCTTTGCAGCATGCTTTGCTCCCCGGGAAGACTGTCTTCCCGTGACCACGCGCTGCAAAGCATCCACGTGGGCCGAAGAAAATCATTCAAGTAAGTTAACTAATATATCGCGTTTTAAACCGTTAAAGTGTTTTATTTAAATGTGTACTACTCGCGTAAAGGACACTTTTAGAGACGGTTTAAGAGAGCATGTACCATATAGTGTATTTTTTCTAACTTGGCATTTTTGGTAGATAAACACTGTGTCATCTGTGGCATAACGTTACTCTATGAAAGATCATCACCAGTTATCTATTGTTTCAAATCGGCCATATTTATTGTCGTCTTTTGCCAAGTCAAAAATAATACACTTTACATATAGTAATTGACAACTCAATGGCCTAGTCAAATGTTAGCTTTGGACAGTAGCTGCATAGTTTATCGAGTGATCGACAATGTTTGATGTTACGTCAAGCACGTGATTGATTAACCTTGGGCTCTGAGGTATGACATTTACTAAGTTACGGAATAATTAGTGCTATCTGGAAAGGCATACTAGGCCTGAAATCTAGATCTATACTTCTATACTAATATTCTAGATCTGAAAAGTTAGTTTGCTTCAACGCGCTTATCTCAGGAACTACTGGTTAGAACTGAAAAGATATTTTTGTGTTGAACGAAGCATTTATCGAGGAAGGCTTAAGGCTATATAACATTACGCCAAAGCCAATAGAAGCAATGGAATAATGAAAAAAAAAACAAGAAAAACAATATGTAACAAAGAAAGATTCCTGTTAAAATGATAAAAAAATATTCCCAAAAGTATATCTTTTAAGATTATTTCCGAGAACGACGAGACAACGTCGACTTGGAAATAATCTTGACACCGCTATAAACCTTGAAACCGCTATTGTATATAATACATCATTTTTGAAGAACACCGATCAAGGACATGCCTGAAAATAAAAGACAGAAATGTGTTCGCCCTAAATCTCATAGAGGAAAATGATATTTTAAGACTTCTCGCGTGAACCAAACACATTAATAATAATTAACATAATATAATATTTGCTTTCTTGTTTTCAGATACATGCCAAATATTAAACAGGACGATATTCTTACCTGCCTGGCGCTGTTATCGCATGTTTTATGCTATGCCAATTCAGCAATCAACCCCTTGATATACAATTTCATGAGTGGTAAGTTGTTTCTGTAACTTTGCATTATAGAAGTAAAATCCATTTTGTATCAGTGCCTGAATTAGTGCATAGTATAAATTGTAAATGCCTATATATAACAAATAGTTAAAAGCTATACCGTTTCGTCTACTCTGGTATGGGACAAAACATATTTGTGTCCGTTTACTGATAAAAACACTTCTGTGCTTTGCTCAACCGAGACAATGATTGATGATGATTGGTTCGTTGGGATTGAAACCTGAACCTCTTGAGCAAATACAATCTAGATAACGAGTTTGTCTTTTGAAATTCAGAGGCGAAAAAGAACATGAATTAATTGTCCTAAATCAAGGATTTTAATATATAATATATTTACATTGAATAAGATTCATAAAAAATACGGCCGGCATTGTTAGACTGGGACTCTACAATAGTACTTTTCTAAAATAAACACGGGAATTAAAGTATACAATTCAGAACTTTAAAACAATAATAAATTATCGAATAACTAATAACAACAGTTTTTACGCAACTTTTTTTACGAAAGCCTTATACGTTCGAAATTTAAATTAAACCTTTGATAAATCTTCGGTCCATTTGCGGAGTAGATGTATTTATTATTTCTTTTAAGTTACACGACAAATATGATTTTACATGTTCATATTTGGCATAAAACATGACAGATATCGACTGTAAAACTATCGGCCGCTGCTTAATAGAAAAAGTTCCTTATCTTTATATCATGACTAGCTGTGTCAGCGACTTAGGCCACGCGAATCGTTATTTTGGGCATCCAAATCCGTTTCTGCAAACCCCTTCATCTTTATAAACTTCGCTGCTACGACGTCGGTCGCGTCATATTCTTGCAAGTTTATTTTAAGAGATAGAGGAGGATCATTTTAAGAGACATCATTTTTTGGATATCTTAAACCGTTTTTACATCGCCTCGGAAACCCATAGTGATTAAAAATTTTCCCAATTGATTTCACATTTCTCGCTGTATTTTCACTTGTGTTAGTTACAGGGATATTTTTTATAGTCCATAGCCTCCCTCGATAAATGCTCTAACCAACATAAAAAGAATGTTTCAATTCGAACCCGTAATACTTGAGATTAGCGCCTTTAAACATACAAACAAACTCTTCAGCTTTATATATTAGTACAGATATGTGATTTGTGTGATTGACAAATGACTGCATAAAATCCAAGCATGTTTGACAAAAAAATATTGTATTATTTATTTTTACGTTGCACATTGTTATATCTGTATATATTAATATATCATTGTTCGTGATGTTAAGGTCTTGTTATTTTATTTCAGGAAAATATCGACGAGAATTCAAAAGGGCCTTCTGCTGCTCCTCAACACTGAGCCTCGAGTCACAAACTACCACCTCCCGATTGACTTCCAAACGACAAGACATGAGGTGCCAACACATCTGCCACCAACGACAGTACAGAAACATGTGCCACACATGTCTCGTCAGGAATAGCTGTAGGAATAACTTTATGAATTAAGTTGAATTGTCTTAAATACTGTTTAAAGTTTTTAAGTTGCTAAATATTTGAGTAAGAGCTACCTCACATGACCATTAACGGTCGAGTACCTGTCGTTATTTATAAGCTGTACTGTATTTTTAATAAATTTATTATATAACTTTGTGTTTTATATTCCCGTCCATCGATACTACATACCTACGAACTAGCTGTGCCTAGTATAGTTCGCGAATCGTAATTTGTTTTTGTAAACCTTTATAAACTATAGCTGTTACTAAAGTTGTCGCGGTCGTCGTCATTACAGGTTAGTCTTAAAAGACAGACATATACGCGGACTTTTTTAATTAATCTCAAGAGGAATCTCACTCCTTGAACCGTTTACACATCACATCCAACGGAAACACTTAAAGACGATTAACTTTCCTCGTTTCTTTCATATGGTTATTCCCCACTGTATCTTCGCTTCTAAAGGTTGCAACGTAATATTTTTAACCTCAAACTGTGCTTATGTGTACGTACAAGTTCTTTATTCATTTAGTTTTTAATACTGTACTATCGTTAATAATTTATTATTTTATTAATTGTTTAAGTCAGCATTACACATAATTGATATTATTGTTTGTTTTATTTTAACCTTCATCCGTTTTGAAAATGATGCTTTACAGTCAAAATTTTTCTTTCTAATTAGCTACGTTTAATTAAGAATATAAAAGCGTATTAAAAACAAAAGACAATCATCGTTATGTACTATTCAAAAATTATATAACAGCTGTTTTCTACCGACATCTGTTAATTTCAAATGTTATTATTAAACTATTTACTTTTTTCAAGGTTTGTCCATCTTAAGTGCTTCAATAAATACATAGAGGGCGTTTAAAACACTTCAGGGTTTTTCACTTCAAAGCAGCTTACTTATTCTATAATCTGTAGCACGGCGTAGAACACAGTAACAACACAAGATGGCGGATTATTAGACATTCTTTTTCTGCAGCTTAAATTGGTTATGGTACATATGTTTTATATAATTTAAATTACGAATTATTCTCTCAACTAATAAGACTTGTTTGTTTATTTTTTAATATTATTTTATTAAAAATATAAACATTATGTATTCGCATTTAATATATTATATTAAGAGACTAAAAATATCTGAGAAGTATTTGTTATTAGTTAAATTCCATTTAAAAATTCAGTATGACCTTAAATATATAGAATAATCTTGGTTGATTACATATACAGCTTAGTTTTTATTTTAAAGATACTTCTGGGCTGTTTAGAAACTAAGGTTTCCCTTCAAAAACACTGTTATTATTTTTATTTGCTACGATGCACTTTTATATCACAAATGCTTACTTATCACACTTTCCACTCTCGAATATTAACCAGTATTAAAAGCGTCTCAATTGAAGTATAAAAATAATAGCGGCTATCAGCAACATTTTCGCAAACTAATGAGACAAAACGTCTGCTTCACGGCGGCTGTCTCCAAGTAATATGCTAAATGGTGACCACTGAACTGGAAGGTTTTTAAAAGGATTTTAATGGACTGCAGTATTCTCTCAATACCAGACTGGAAAAATAACTTTTTAGGAACTTTGGACGACCCTATTGGTGTAATGTTAGCTAAGTACGGTTAATATTTAACGGGTGGTAGGTAAGATCCCTACCGGGTCCAAGATTTTTCTGATACATATTGGACTTCGTTGTAAATCTGGATCTTAAACGGGTTGTATTAATATCGAAATCCGTCGGAACCAACTTCCAAAGATAAAAAAGCGTGAAGTTTAATTACGTTTTGGTTTCAGTCTGTGGATTTCCGAATATCAAAGCCAAAATAGGTCGCAACGCAAACAAACTAAATAAATGAAAAACCGTTTAAAACGCGATATATTAGTTAAACTATTTGAAAATGATTTTTAACTTCGGCCCGACGTTTCGGATGCTTTGCAGCAGCCGTGGTCACGGGGAGACAAAATGGATTCGTCTTTAGAAAAACAACCAACAGATAGGTATTTGAACGGTGACTCACATCACCACCCCAGCCAACTTAGTTCTGTCGGAGTATCTTTGTTTCAGAGAGCCCGCCGTCTCTGTGTCTCACAAATGAGGAGTTACACATGTCAACAGGTCCTATCAAGAACAATGAGAGTCCCTCCGCACATCCAGGAACAGGAACAAGCCACCCACAGTCAAACGTCAGCCCGCCTACCTACCAATGAAGGGAGTTACAGATAGAATTAGCAGAGTCCTAAATCGAGCTTCTATTGAACAATTTTCAAGCCGCACAAGAAGATTCAGCAATTCCTGAAACCAAGCAATGTACTATCCCACAATCGGCGTTTACAGACTGGATGTGATTGTGGCCTATCCTACATCGGCCAAAAAAGCGTAGCTCTCAAACAGAATTAAAGAACACGTCGCGGATATAAAACATAAACGTCTCTCCAAATCTGGGTATGCCAACACTATCAGAAGGGCCCAATCACTATTCGCTTTGACAACAAAAATCCTCGCAAAGGAGAGTCGATTTTTCCAAGATTGGTACGCGAACAATTGAAATCAAAAAACACCGAAATTTCAATAGGGAGGACGGCCTCAAACAAACACCTGGGATCCCATATTAAAAACCGGATCCCAATAAACACATACCAGCAAACGCGAAGACACCGTTAGTCAATTCTGTAAGGACCCGGCCAGTTTCGCCAAATACCAACTTCGACGGAACAAATGGCGCTAGCGTAGCAATTCTTTACTTTGACGTCTGAGACATCCTCATCTTTAGTCTCCCCGTGACCACGGCTGCTGCAAAGCATCCGAAACGTCGGGCCGAAGTTAAAAATCATTTTCAAATAAGTTTAACTAATATATCGCGTTTTAAAACCGTTAAAGTGTTTTATTTAAATGTGTACTACTCGCGTAAACATAACAGTATTTAAATGAAAAACCGTCTTTTCCTTATAGAAATCTAGACTATTAAAAAAAAAATTGAAGGTCACAGCTATCTTTCCTCGTTTCCCTGGTCAATTTTATTGCAGACCAATGGTTGATTAGACTTTTAGGCTATTTATTGTAAATTATTTACGCCTAAAATTGATGACGCGCTATTTATTAAAACCTTTCAGAACTTCGGCCAGAGGAAACAGACTTAAAAATAGCGCAGTCTCTTCAAATATGTATATGACATAAAAAAACAAGATTTATTAATTAAGTAATTAAATAAAATTATCATCATAATCGATGGTATGTTTCTTTGTCACTTTGTGTCCGTGTATCGTTGCGTGTATCCACGAGCTGACGTCCACATGAGATACCAGAGTCACGAAGATAGTTCCAGATTCAACTTCACAATCCTCCGACCTCCAAGATGAGATGATTCCCCATAAGACTCCGTTCAAGACCACCGGTGCTCCTATATCTCTCTAAAATTTTTGTGTTTAGTAAAATTTATACTTAGAATTAGGTTATGTTAATAAGCACCATCTAGAATAAGCCAGCATAAAAATACTAACTATATTCTGTATGAAAAAATATTTAAATAAAGACATAACACAAATGTAAAAATAATGAAAACGCTTTTGCGTTTTCATTATTTTTACTTTTTTAAGTTAACGTTTACTTTATATTATTAGTTATAAAATGTATGATATACTTTTTACTGTATGTAAAAACCAACAAATGACCGCGCCCTCTGCCGGAAGCGAAAAAAAAAACACTCGCTGTCAACCACAAAAGAAATAGCGCCGTCACTACAGCTGATTGTTAGAGAAGGTTTAAATAAAACACTTTAACATTAATATATATTAATTAAACCTATTTGATTTTTTACAATGGTTTTCAGTACCCGTGCAATCCCACTAAAGCATCCAAAATGTCGGGCCGTAGTTAAAATAATTTTATAAATAAGTTTTACTAATATATATTGCGTCTTAAGCAGTTAAAATGTTTTAATTAAATGTGTACTATTCGCGAAAACAACAGCCAGCGTAAAACAACTGTTTTCCGAGGGAAAAAATTCCCCCCCCTCCCAAAAAATAAAAAAATTTTTTTGTTTTAAAAATTTTCTTTCCCCCCCCCCCCCCCCCCCCCCCCATTTTTATGTATATATAATAATTACCTCACAAGGGTCCCCATTTAAAGGCGGTTCTAGGCACAATACTCCACCAGTATTATTAATGCTTTGTGCTTCTAACTGATCAGAGCATTCCTCAGTGCTAGTCGGATGTACGTGTGACATCGTCAGTAGGCGACGGCGGTTAATTTCGAATGGATTCAGACTTTGAAGATTCTTCCACTATAAAGAGAAGAATGTAAAGTGTGCTTAATAAAGAAATAAAATATTTCGCTATCCGTCTAGTTCTTTAAGAGGTCTTAAGAGAAAAAAACATGCTAACGAAATTTAAAAATGTAGCCTAACAATTTTGTGAATTTCGATTGGTAGTTATTCTTAGTATAGAAAATAGAAAAATGATATATTACATATTGAGTTATGTAATTATTGCTTCAATGATAATATTAGCAAATAATCTCTTATTTATACAATAAACTAGGAAAGGTAGAAATAAATAAATAATTAATTACTAGCTGCGCCAGCGACTTCGTCCGCTAAGAATATTTATTTTGGGCATCCAAATTCGTTTTTGCAAACCCCTTCATATTTATAAACTTAAGCTGCTGTCCTTGCTTTAATCATTAATAAAGGAATCAATCTTTTAGACATATTTTTTCAGGCTGTTTTCCTTGCAAGTTAATCATTAATAAAGGAATCAATCTTTTAGACATATTTTTTGGGTATCTTGAACCGTTTTTGCAGCGTAACCCATAATGATGAATAATTTTCCAAAATTTTTCACATTTCCCGCTCTATCTTTGCTTGTATTAGTCACAGGGCGATGTTTTATTGCCTTCCTAGATAAATGCTCTAACCAATACAAAAATAATTTTTAAATTCGAACCCGTACGTCAAAGCACAAAACTCTCATTTATATATTAGTATAAATATAGAGCGAAGTAAAAGTAAGTTGAAACTCTGAAGGTAAAGTTTTATATGAAATACGTCTTTAAAGACATGCTTAGCTCCGCCGTAGACGCATTGCCGTACGTTATGTAAAGTTCAAATCTCCGGAGTCGAAATATATTAGATCGTATGCAAAGATATCATTTTTAATGCCAATGAAAATCGAAAAAGGTTCTACTTCAAATAAGGATTTTATCACTCAAGTATAGTGACAAATGTAACTTCTTCGTTTACAGCGAGTAGTAGACATTAAAAAAAAACACTTTAACGGTTTAAAACGCGATATATTATTTAAACTTATTTGAAAATGATTTTTAACTTCGGCCCGACGTTTCGGATGCTTTGCAGCAGCCGGTCACGGGGAGACTAAAGATGGAGGATGTCTCTGACGTCAAAGTAAAAAATTGCTACGCTAGCGCCATAGAAACGTCGGGCCGTAGGTAAAATAATTTTTAAATAAGTTTAACTAACATATATCGCGTTTTAAACCTTTAAAACTTTTATATAAACGTGTACTACTCGCGTAAACTACAGAAAAACGATTATTATCAGATAACAGACTGTTCAATTATACATTTGTACACATCTAATGACTAAATTTTGTCTTACTCTATCTTATTAAATTTGCTGGACCCGTAATATTCTCCAGCCGGTCCCTCATATGCTAACCGTGACAAGTTAAAATAGTTCTTACCTGTGAAGATGCCCACGAAGTAACAATAAAATGCGTTGCAACTACTTCCCGTCTCTTTGTCAGAAGCTTAATAGGATTCAAGCTTGGTGTCAATCTTACTGGCTGCGGGAGTTTTATCAGAGCTATATCAAACTGTGGCTTGTTGTCGTCAAAAAGGGGATGAATGGAAAATAATTTTACGGGGGAGAGGAAACCCCCCTTTTTACAGTTGACACTACCAAGTCGAACGCGAAGAATCCGAGATATATCCCGAAGCCTGCAATTAAAACACACTTCAAGTAAACGCTTGTAGTTTACGCGAGTATTTACAATAATACACTTTAACAGTTTAAAACGCGTTTTAAAATATAACAGCTAAACTTATTTTAATTACGGTCTGATGTTTCAGATGCTTTGCAGCCGTGGTATTATGGTCCAAGAATGTAATTATATTGCGTTTTAAACCGTTAAAGTGTTTCATTTAATCAATGACAGTATATGCTATATATTTTACTCTCAATAAACTGACAATAATCTTTAGCCTGTACGATTATTAAGTACATTCAAGTATGGCTGTAATTTACGTGAGTACAATACATTTAAGTAAAAGGCTTTTAACGGCTTAAAAAGCGATAAATAGAACTAAATCGCATATTAAATATTAACGAGTTTTTTAATAGAATTCGCACTTTAAGCCGTTCAAAGTGTTTTTATAATGTGTGCTACTCGCGTAAATTACATTCAGTACTTACAATTTTTTTAAGTATAATTAAAATTTAAAACAAATTTAACTTCCTTATTTGTAAAAGTTATATCGTGATAAATTTTCCTGACAAAGAACCGTTTAGACTTTGTCTGTACGACGAGTAAAAGTAGTTTTAAGTACTGTCTGTAGTTCACGCGAGTAGGTAGTTGCACATTCATTAAAACACTTTTAACGACTTGAAAACGAAATTTATTAGTTAAAATTAAGTTAACTTACTATTACATTGACTATTATTCGCAATTTAAACGTTAAAAGGTTATTGTAATTAAATAAAACACTTTAACGGTATAAAACGCGACATATACTAGTTACTGTAACCGTGGTCACGTTGCGTTTTTTTGGAGTTTTAAACTGGGCAACGAGTGGGGTTCGAACCCTCTTAAACTGTTCGTGGATTTGTTTTGACGTTATATGCTTTTTCAATTGCGTATGAAATTATTTATTTATACTAATATTATAAATGCAAATGTAACTCTTTCTGTCCGGCTTTAACTCCGAAACTACTAAACTGATTTAAATGAAGTTTGTTACACAGATGTTTTAGAGCCATATAAAGGACATAGGCTACTTTTTAATGCTTAAAAGCATTGATAGGGGGTGAAAAAGGGGATGAAGGTTTTTTGGGGTTTTTTGGGTTTTTTTTAAAGGAAAAAAGGGGGTTTTTTTTTTTTTTTTTTTTTTTTTTTTTTTTTGGGATTAAAAGTGGAAGTGGAAGGAGTGGAGCGGGTGGATGGAATTGGGGGGGGAAGTGGATTGTGAGTGGAAGTGAGTGTGAGAGTCAGAGTGGGAGTTTGCGAGTGTTGGGCAAAGTAGTACAAGCATAGCATGGCTGCCTTGGATGCGCTCTTACATGAATTAATAAACAGCCTAAATAATTAAAAAATCCCAAGTCACTATTCCACGCGGACGAAGTCGCGGGCTCAGCTAGTCAAGTTATAAGTATGTACTAAAATAAATTCTTACATATACAAGGAATCCGCCCCGGTCACAATCCAACTTTCGTGTATGAGAGCGCCTGCGCTGATATAAGTCGTTTTCTTCAATATCGCTGCCATATACGGAAACAGATTATTACTGCCCACTACACTATGTTCGTTTTCTTCATTCAATTTTCCATTAGTAGAGATGACGAGAGTAATTAAGGCTATAACTTTGAACGCCATTTTATATTGAATCACTGTTTAACGTCTTCGTAATCTGTAATATTTTCACCTTATATTATAAAGCTCCATTTCTACTATGGGCCGGACATATTTCTGTGTCCGTTTGACTAATCAATTTTCGAATACCTGCTTTGGTATTCGAACTAGTACCTAAGCTTAATTAAGTAGACGTATAATGCATATAATTAAACATCTATTACTATAATATTTTTATTATTAATTATTAACTTAACCTGATATTGTAAAGATATCTTAAAACTACACGAGTTTATGTTGTGTCTCGTAATATAATTAAAAGCTGTCCGCGAACTTGTCCATGTGAAATAGAAGTATTTTTTGCAAGCAACGTCGGTTTTATAATTGTAGTATAGGTTATAAAAGGTGTAAATACGTTAAAATATAATGAATATAAGTTTTCACTTACCAACATATACAATGAAATTATAAATTTTTTTATATTTCTCGACAATAATTATTTACTATATAGTAGAAATTTTAGTAGAAATGTAAAATAGTGTGGTTATTTACTGATATTGCATTCAACATTGTGCTTAGATTGCTTTGAACTGTTTATATAACAATAATTACGGGTTGTGTAGGGTCGCTAAACAGACTATAATTCTAGCATTACTTTGTTTCTCTTCAAATTAATTAGTTATAAAAAATAATTAAAAATACCTTTCAACAGTGTTAGGTGTAAAATATAATAATAATACGGGTTTTAATCCGTTAAAATATTATACTACATATTATTATCACTTACTAAAATATTCGTTTCTCAGTCCAAATATTAATTAATCCAAATTTAATAATTATGAAATTATAAAAGTACGCTGCGAAAACAGTCCAAGATACACAAAAAATATGTACGAGAGAAAGATTTTTCTTTATATATATCTATCTCTTACGACGAATTCGCAAGAACGACGGGACGCGACCGACGTCGTGGGTAACAGCTTAAAATTATAAAAATTAGGAGAAGGTTCATAAAAACAATATTGGATGTCCAAAATGACAACACAGCTAGTATACAATACACATTGAATGTAAGGTGAGTCACTATGCCTGGAAGACGGGTTAACCGAAAAAACCGCAGTCGAATGTTTTCGGCTTTTATTTAATGAAGTTTACAGGTTAGTGACAACCCTACACGCAGTAGGAATGTTTAATAACAGTATGGTCTGCAAAAGCAACGAATTTCAGCGCTGGCTTTATTTGCGGTTGGCTCTAACTTGTATTTGTAATTCCTCGGGCTAGCGGTACCCGGATTAAATATAAGCCTTTGTTAACTGATTCTCTTATAATGATTGGGATGTATCTATGCCTAGATCAAACCTTGTATAAGTGGGTACTCTCTCAAATACATTTGGCTACTACACAAGCTAGTATTTTGCAAAGCACTTCGTACGACTTCGTGCGACTTCGTACGCATGGAATACTAATATTACTAATAAAAGTGTAACTCGCAATTTTATGGAATTTATTAAGTTAATATTTATATATTAAGTTACATTAAATGCATCATCTTTTGTTGCATTAAGCAAGAGACAGATCTTATGCATAATAAACTGTTATACTCTTGCAGGGCAGTTAAAGCAATGAGAAAAATGTATTTGTGACAACTGTTTGAAGAATGATGTGTGAGAAGATGAACATATTTTATATATGATGCCGCTAGAGGCAAAGTAGCCTTCTGACTTGACTTGTTTATATTTTCATAGACTTAAAATGTTAATCTACAAGAGCACAGTGACTCAAATTTTGTATATAAATAATAGTATAAATTAATTTTCGCCTCAGTTAATTGCGCATTTTATTTGAAAATAATGTCTTTTGTTATTAGACCACTCTGCCTCTAGCAACCTCATATCAACTACACGTTATTTATTGTGTAAGCAATTTAAAATAATCTGTGTAGGTAACTCTAAAATTAGTATTAAATAATTTTACAGACTATAAAAGGCGTGTGTATGGTGTATATTTATGTAATAATAATGAAGGAAGGTTTGAAGGGGAACACGGGAGACTTCGATGACCCAAAACCTCTGCAAGGAGGAAATGGGCAAATGGGTGAAATATTCGACTGATAACGTGGACCTATCACAGGTGACCCCGATAGAAAATAACAATAATAATCGTATATATTTCGCATGTAGCCAGGGCCGGCCAGGTGTGAAAATACGTTAAGTTCAAACACGTCAGTCCGCAATAAAACCAATTTCATTCCAACTAAACTGGGTGGTATGTAATTTTCCGCCATTAGGGTCAATAAATCACTTCCACAGTTCGTATAATTTTTACCTAAAGTTAATTAACGTGACTGATAATAAATTATACGAAGACCGTAAAGAAAGAATAAATTTAATGTTAGCATTTGAAAACTTTAATATTGCACATGATTACATATTTTGAAAATCGATTTTTGATAGTGTCAGACTTGGTAGCTCAATAGGTAAAATCAATAGCACGGAACGCTGTTGCCGGTTCTAGTCCTGTCCGTGTCGTTATTTTTTTTCAATCTTAAACCAACTTTAGCAATTTATGCCAAACAATCAACAGATCGTGGGTTTGATACTCACCGGGTCCAACATATTTCATACCAGCTTATGATTTTTCTGACACATCTTGGACTTCGCCTTGAAATCTAAATATTAAAGGAGGAACATCAAATTTCCATCACGTACCACCGTGACGGATGAAAAAGCTGTGACGGATGAAAAGGCTGTGACGTTTAACCGCGTTTCGATTTCAGTCTGTAGATTTCCGTATGATCAAAGCTGAAATGGGTTGACAGCGCGTCTCACTTAAATGTTATATATATTTAGATCAAATGTGCAACGTAGACTACAATTTTATGTACTTTATTTAGAATAGGATGATAAGTTTGACTGTGAGGTGTCATTCAAAAGTCAATTTTCAGTCTTGTATATATGTTGCAATGAGCAAGACTTATCATATACTAGCTGTGTCAGCTATTTCGTCCGCGAGAATCGTTATTTGATATATTCGAATTCATTTTTGCAAACCCCTGTATCTTTATAAACTAAAGCTGGTACCCACGACGTCGGTCCCTTCCCTTCGTTCTTGCAAGTTTATCGTAAAAGATAGACATAAAGCGTCGCGGACATTTTTTCATATAATTCAAAGAGGAATCATTAATTCCTACATATTTTTTTAGATGTCTTTAACCGTTATTGCAGCATATGCATCAAAAATCCACAGTTCATTTATTCACATTTCCCGCTGTATCTTCGCTTCTAGTAGTAACAGCGCAATGTTTTATAGCCTAATCGATAATTTCTCTAACCAAGAAAAAAAGATTCAATTCGAACCAGTAGTTCCAGAGATTAGCGCGTTCAAGCAAACTAACAAACAAACTCTACAGCTTTATATATTAGCATAGATATAGATATAGATTAGACATGCATATATATGCATTTATGACGGGTTGTAATAAGAATAATTTCCCGAAGTGTTCGTAATATTGTTATAATTACAACAAAATATAATAATATGCAAAACCTAATCTGCAACAAACTCATCTCTATACATATAACGTCAAGATGATATAAAAATAATTAATTCTCTTTTGTTTTTCCCAACTATACAAAGCTAGTAAGAACAATGATGTTTAGACCAGTATAAAAGTATATTTATATCTTTAGAAGATCTATTTTATTCGATTATTACTTGAGATATATTTTCCCGGCGTTGGACATAAATATGAGTATTGGATTATCGGGAACCTACCTATAAATTTATGAACAAAATCGAATTAACCTGCCCGTGCAAGAGACTAGCTAAACTTCGGGACAAATATTTATATTAAAATGCTTTTAAATAACAAAGCTTATATTGTGTGTAACATGACTTGTTATAAATAATCGAGAAGAATAACGGTTAAATTTATTGACAATGTAATATTTTTTAAATGTTTTAAAAGCAATCCTATTGTCCTTTTTTTATCGAAAATAAAATATTTTAGTACAAATTACAAATTATGTTTTACGCGAAAAAATCAGGCGGGACTAGAAGAATCGACTGCAGTGGCCCTTACCAAATGAATGATGGTTTCACGTTTTCGTCGTGTATTGGGCGCCATGGAGCGAACACATTTCTGTGTACGTGTCACTGATCAGTTTTATTGTACCCGCCCGACCTGTTCAATCTTTTGTTTTCTCGGTAAACAAACCTAGGGCCTCTCGCGCTTAATACAATGCTAGGCAGCACGTTTAACCATTTAACTGATGGAGGGTATCTCTGATGTCAAAGTAAAAACATAATTTTTAAACATGTTAAACTAATATATGTTTTTGTTAAAGTGTTTTATTTAAATATATCTATCTTTAAAGATTAACTTCCAAGAACGATCGGACGCGAGCGACGTCGTGAGTAATAGCTTAAATTTACAAATCAAATCAAAAATAATTTATTCATGTAGGTAGCTTAGTACACTTATGAACGTCAAAACAGGTAAAAACTTAAGACTCTAAATTTACAGTTACTACCAGTTCCCAAGTTAGGGCGTAGAACGAACGAGAAGAACTGGCAAGAAACTCGCCGCCACTCCTTTTAACTGCCAAGTTTTTATTACATTTCCTTATAGTCCTTACGCACTCATTGTGTACATTTCTTCCTTGATAGAGCGGGTTCCTCCAGATTTTGGACGCCTAAAATGACTACGAGGACGAAGTCGCGGACACAGTTAGTAAAGATATATAAATACCATTGGTTTATGAAAGATGTATGTAGTCCCCAACTGCACACTCTCTAAGAGTTCGTTAGAGATAACTTACTCAATTTCCGTGAAGCAGTTTTGACGGCTCCGTTATAGGTTATATCAAAGTCTATTACATTTTACTTATTCTATTCAAAGGCTGTACAATTATGTTACAGGCCTAATATTTAATATTAAAGGCCTAGTTAATACAAGACGACTTTAAAGACGCCAATTTACTTAGTAATCTGTATATAGGAAGACCTTATCAGGTCTATCTATT